TTTTGAAAACGTTTTATATTATTTTCTTAATTAAAGGAGAATCTGCTGGTATGTGTTGTTCAAATGGAACTGTTCGTATTCCTAATATCGATGAACCACACGTTTTAGTTTGATCTCTTCAATATGCCTTAATATCGTATAATTTTTTCTAAATTTTTTTTTGGTTTTCTAAATGCATTTGACTGCGGGCCAAGCGGGCGCCAACACTCCTCTTCAATTTTTTTTTTTAGGACCTGCAGTTGCCCTAGAATATACTCTCTGTAATGAACTAATTATTTCGAATATGTTTTTTCTGTTTAAGGTTCTGGACATTTTAGTTTGAACTCTTTAATGTGTGTTCCTACGGTATACATTTTTCTAAATTATTTTTTTTTGTTATCTAAAATGTGTTTACCTGATTTAGACTCAGCACGGTTAAGATGTTACTGTTCTTTATTTTTGCCATTTTGATCATTTTTCTTGTAAATCATAAATTATAATAATATAGTTTTAGTATATTTGAAAAAAAATGAAATACAAAATGTTGTTAAAAGGGCGCATTGTATAGGCACTTCAGCTACAACACAGTTCATTGTTGTTAGTGAGGGTGTCACATACTTGCAACGACTTGACATCCGATAAACATTTCTTTATTAATGTGTAATATTATTAAACCCTATACGTGGTTTAGTGGGTGTGTGAATTTCTAGGAATCCGTTTTAGTTATAGCTAAAACCGCGGAATTAATGCATAGGAGATCCCACGGAGTCGTGTCGTCGCCTCGTCGGTTTAAAATGGAAAAAAAGTCTTTATTTTGTTTACAGGCATCTATAGTTGCCAGTATAAAATGTAGGCCGTGTTATTTTATACAGCAAATAATATATAGTAAACACCTCTTTCGAATTGACAAATTTATAGGTCTTGATCTGCAGACAGCGAGGTGGGGTAGATTTCGGCTTATCCACTACAGATGAGGGCCCGAACAGTACACCGCTCTAAGTTTAATACGTATGGGTAATACCTTCTTTGCATAATTATTATACAATGCACTATACACCTTGGAACACCTTATAGGCTGTAGGTATTTAAAACAATTATTAACATGTATATTTTAAATACATTATATACGCACCTATGTTTACACTTATTTTAAACATTTGATAAGCATAGATGGCGAGTACTATGCTGGTCACGTCGAACTTGAATGCATTAGTCTACTTTATCCAGGTCATACATTTCGTGTGTATATAGATCTAATGATCTTGAGAGGGTGCAACACCAGTCGTTTTGTATTGAAAATAGTGCGTTCGTATTTCAAATGCTACGAAATCAATAATAGTCGTAGACTCATAAGTAATACATTGTTTGAAAGGTGGTAGTTTTTGCTATGTTTTGTTGGAATCAGATATTTGATATTGTGATTAATTATCTAAAATATAAGCAAATCAGTATTTACAAAATGGTCTTTTTTCTATGTCGTAATACTCGCTTGTTAATACTATTTTCAGAAATCGGTTTCCAACAAAACATAGAAAAAATTCTCCTCTACAATTTTTGTAATAGGTATTTATACTGTAAAACGCATCACAACGCCGTATTACTTGAATTACGAAACCATGTTTTTCGGTTAAAAAAATACGCTCGTCGATTAATTACGCTCGTCATGTGCTGCGCCCATAAACAGCGGCAGCGTTCATTACTAGATGTTCATATACCATCACCCCGCGCGCGATAACGGCAGTACCGCACCATAGTCCAAAATAGGTTTTCTATCGCAGCCGTGCGCCGCCTGTACATAACCAGATAAGAAAACGATTATAATATAATGTGACAAATATTATTTAATTTTGTTCGGTTTTATATTTTGTATTCGTATCTGAATTTTATACTAATAAAAACTATTGTTTTGTTCTTCTAGGAATACGGCTTATTGAAGCGGTTTACTACAGAACTACCTATTATAAAAATTGTAAAGGAGAACTTTTTTAACAATCGTAAGGAATCTCATTTTTGATATCGTATTCCTATCGTTCAATATCATATGGTAAATTAACAAGGTTTTTAACTTTTTATCGATTAATTATTCAACTAATTAATAAAAAATATCGAAAATCGGGCTTCTTACAATTGTTAAAAAAATTCTTCTCTACAATTTTTATAATAGGTAGTTTGGCTGTAAACCGATTCAATTAGCCGTATTACTGAAATTATCGAACTATTTGGGTATGATAAAAAATACTAATTATTACGATACCTATCGAAATAATTAATAATTAGGTAAGAAAAAATCAAAATTAAATCAAATGTTATTTCATTTAGTGTACATTGTAGTATACGTAGCCACGTAGGTATATTGTATACAAATATGAAACAATTGTTACAAATTAAATGTCATATATAATAATTATATTATAATCATAAGCGTGCGCAGACCTCTGAGTCAGGTATGGCTAAGTTCAATCTGATCATCTACCCCCTGCAGGTCATGGTCACACAAGAAAAAAATTATAGACATTTTCACCACAAACTTTTAAGTGGCCCTTGTGTAGTTGTGTTGATGACTGGAAAATGTAAATAATAATTTTTACCTACTTTACGTCACAATCGGTCCGTCCAGCCGGCTGCGGCGATATTTATAAAAATAGCACTGCCGGCTGCCGCGAATCGCCATAACATCGAATTCTCGTAATCCTGTATAATTATAATTTATATCTTACCCACTCTACACAATATTAAATTATAACAAAAATGATATTGTTTCTACTAGTTTTAACAAATTTATTATGCGTCTATGCAATTGAAAGTGTTCAGTTGACTACTGGGCGTCTAGAGTTCTAGACTGTAGTGTATTTTTTCCGGGTTTACTCATATTTTGTTTTGTTAAATTTTTTTAAATGGATAACCATAAAGTTAGTAATTCGAATAAAAGGCGGATAGCACCGTCGAGACGTAAAAGTATAAAAAAACTAAACTTTGAAAGAATTAATAATTTTACTAAAAGAACACCAAAATGGTAAGTTATACTCGTATTTGTATTAAATTATTATATAGACAAAAAGTATATAGGTAGTTAGACTATAGGTACCTATTATTTTTATACACAGGGAACCTACCACATCGATCAGTGAATTATTAGAATCTGAAGAAACTGCAGAACCTTTACCATTTATGTAAATTATTATTAAATTATTATATAGACAAAAAGTATACTGTTAGACTATGAGTCATTCGTCTATTATTTTTATACACAGGGAACCTACCACATCGATCAGTGAATTATTAGCATCTGAAGAAACTGCAGAACCTTCACCATATATGTAAATTTAAATGCTTTATAAATTAAATATTAAGATTGTGTGTAGTGTATAATATTGAAATATTATAATATTATAATATTGAAATATGATAAAACCATGAAAATTTGAAGATATTTTGTAGTTGAAATTTCATAAAATTTTAAATATTTATACCTAAGATTTGAAAATTTGGTACAAGATTCCTCAAAAGTTTTTCTTCAAATTTCTATAAAAAAAACCCTACTTTAATAATACCAAACATAATTATGAGCATTGGAAATTTAAATTTTTACGAAATCACGTAAAGTAACGATTTAGTCTCAAACGATTTTTGATATTTGTTTTTATTCAAAAAGTATAAATTGTGGAGACTTGAAATTTCCACCAGTTGTTTAATTTGACATTTTATCCCATATTTTTTGTTTCAATATATTTCTATAATTTCCAGCTATTTTTAGGCATTTGAAATTTTTTTTTTTCAAATATCGACAAAATCACGAATATTTGCAAATTATTTCATAGTTTAAAATGTATACATTTTTTTGTATTCAAAACTAAGAATTGAAAATTTAACACAAAGTTTCAAGTTTCAAGTTTCCACGACTTATACTTTTTTAATAATAATTAATATCCAAAATCGTTTGAGGATAAATCGTTATTTTAAGAGGTTATGTAAAAATTTAAATTTCAGACGCTCATAAAAAGTTTTTGTGTAAAGATGACGTTTGAGTTTTTTTTATAATTATTATGAGCAAAACATATAGAAAATCTTCTATTAAATTTATAAATATATATGTATTGTATACAGCTTACGTATTTTAATTAAATAACTATCTATAAAATGTATATTATTATTAGAGAATCCATTCTGACTAGTACACCAAAAAATATTCAGATCAGTTATTCAAATACCAATTTGGTGGATACAGAAACTGAATCTAATTTATTGTTTGGCAACGTTTCCGATGTTGAACACCATAAGCTATGTGCAGAAACATATGTATCATCCTCTTCATCATCATATACTGATACAGTACTCTCTAAGTACGTAATTCGAATGCTATATGTATAAATATATTTAATCGTAATATAGTTGACATTCTAAGATTCTTATATATTCTCAACATACCTATATGGCTATATAGTATAAAATATGCAATATAAACCTACTAATAAAATATTATATATTTATATGTACAAATAACATCGGGAAAATTATAAAACGTATTATTTATATTTTTATATTGTTTACTTTTTCGTATTATTATTATTTAGGAATTGCACTGGTCGTCGAATTGTCGATATAATGTATGTTTTTGAACAAATACAAAAAAGTAAACACGCAGGAAGTTTTGGTTGCTCATTCTTAGACATGCAATTTTTATCCGAAAAACGTTACGGATTCAGATCTTCATATATTTTTCAATGTAAAATGTGTAATTTAAAATCTTCGTTTGAATCTGAGAAAAGTGAACCAGAAGATTTTATTCCCATAAATCAAGCTATAGTTAGTGGGACAATTGCAGCTGGTATAGGATATACACAACTTGCTGAAGTACTTGTTTCCGCTGATATCTCATGTATGTCAAACACAACTTATAATGCAGTTTTATTGGTTATGAGTGAGAAAATACATAATGCCGCATTGAAAGAAATGCAAATAGCAGGCGAAGAGGAAAAAAATTGGCAATAGCGGCAGGCGAAATTGACCATGATGGTACACCAATGTGTACCGTCGTAGCAGATGGCCAATGGTCAAAGCGTAGTTACAAAACGAAGTATGATGCTTTGTCTGGTGTTGTAAGTTGTTTTAATAAGTCTTATAAACATAATTAATAAAAAACATATTTTATTGAATTTTTATAATTTTAGGCTACTATTATTGGCTATAAGACTAAAAAAATATTATTCATTGGTATTCGAAATCGATATTGCGTGATTTGCCAGAGATTTAAAAATAAGAAAACCGAAGGTTCTACTAACCATACATGCTTTATGAACTGGTCAAAAGGAGCAACTAGCATAGAAGCAGATGCGGTCGCTGAAGGTTTTAAAAAAAGTGTAGAAATGCATGGGTTAAAATATAATAAATTAATTGGTAAGATAATTATTTATATTATTAATTATTATAATTATAGTATAAGTAATGCAGTAGTTAAGTTGTGAATCCTATTCAAATATTTGTTACAAAAACTGGATAAACATTTGAAATTTGATATAAAAATAAATTATATTGTATTAGAACAAAAGTTATTTCATTTGTCTGGTCTTTCGGTGATAAGTTTTTATAAAAGTTCAAAAGTAATTGAGATAATTTAGGTAATTTGGTGATATGGTATTTAATTTCGTGATATGATGGTAAAGTAATTTCGTGAATACACAATAATTTAAATTTTTTTATCCATTAATCTTTATTAATGAAGTATAACACCCGGATTAACATAACAAAATATATCAATACTTTTATAAAAAAAAAATAAGTTTCTATAAATTTTTGGGTAATATAATATCGTGATATATGTATAATTTCGTTATCGTAGGTAATGTCGTAATAGGCTAAACTGCAAAAATTCAGATCCGTATAAAGAAATGTATTATCTTCATTTAACTATATAAATATATCACTGGCTTGTGCTTAAAATGATTTTTGATGTCTTATAAAATGACTTAAAATGTATATTAATTTGAGGTTAAAACTTTAAGAAAATGCGTATCTGCAATAAGGAGTCATATTATATATCTATATTAAAATGTATTTTTTATTTGTGATGCGAGTCTCGTACTAATGCTTAATTTTATATTTATCTTGCCTTCTTTACATAATATTGTAAAAAAATTCAACAGGTACACTATAAATTTAATTTTAATAAAAATTTACCAATTTTACCGTAATTTTACTCAGTAAATGACCAAAAAATTTTTTTACGTAAAATCCACATCACTAGTTATTATTTTAAAGGAGATGGAGATTCTAGTGTTACTAAAAGGCTACAAGAGGTAATGCCATACGGTCCAAATTTTTTTATTGAAAAAATTGAGTGCCGTAACCATTTATTACGGAATTATGGCACAAAATTGACAGGAATAGTAAAAAATACGAAATATCCAATTTCAATTAGGAACCATATAAAAAAAAATCCCGTACGATTTCGAAGTGCCATAACTAAGGCCATGGATTACCGCAGCAAGTTGCAATATGAGACAAAAGAAGAGAAAATATTTGGTAAGCGAGTTTATTTTCCATACAAAATAATGTAAAATAAAAATGTATAATTAATAATTACCCAGGTTTACGAAAAGATATCACAAATAGTTTTCGACATATTCTTGGTTACCATAGATTATGTGAACCGTATTTTTGCAATGGTCCTAAGCCAAACGAAATCAATTATATTGACGAAGCTCTGACTACTGGTTTGTTAGAAGAATTTATTCAAATAGTAAACCGCTTAGCAAATAATGCTGAAAGTTTATTGATGAACGTTGACAATAATATTTGTGAACAATTTAATAGCATCATAAATAAACACCTTTCCGGCAAACGAATAAATTTTTCACAAAGACATAATTACAATGTCCGAGTAGAAGCAGCTTTACTATCTCACAACACATCTGGAAAATACATACGTACTATTCATAAAGCATTAGTTCAAGATAAAAGTCCTGGTAAGAAAATAAATAATTATAATATAGCCTATATAGTATATATGTATTATGTATATCTTGGGAGAATTTTAATTGAATACGTTGATTTCAATTTTCAATTCTACAGCAAATGGATAATTATAATGCAACTTATAAATTATTTTATATGATCATTTTGACGTTTTATTTTTTTAGGAGATGTTGGTAAAAAGTTCTTAATTTCAAAAGAAAAGAAAAATGATCAGAGAAGAAGACGTATGTTATTTAATGAAAATGTACCTAGAAACACTAAACATTACGGTCCGGACGCTGATTATGGGTTAGCCGAACCTCTAGAAAACGACGAACCCTTTGACTATGACGAAATTAAACTTAAATTTTTAAACACATTATGTATGAATATGTATCAGCGAAATACTTTAGAAGAAGAAACTCGAAGTCAATCAAATTCTAAGAAGTGGCACATAGAAAGACAAAAGAGATTAACTGCCTCAAATTTTGGACGCGTATGCAAAAAAAGAGCCACTACATCATGTAAAAATCTGGTATATGATTTAGTATACAGAACTTTTAGTTCAAAGGCTACGGAATATGGGAAAGCAATGGAATCTTCGGCAATTGCAGATTTCGAAAAAACTATGTTTTTAAAAGTTAAGCCATGTGGTTTATACTGCGATTTAGAATACCCATTTTTGGGAGCCAGTCCAGGTAATATTAAAAATAGACTTATTTATAATAATGCATTATTACCAATGTTTTTTATTAAAAAATAATAAATAATAAGAATCATTAGTATAAAAAAAAAACAAAAACCGGGAAAGTCGCTCTGCTGTATAGTAGGTGTCGAGTGGGTAGGTCAAAGTGTAGGTAAAAATTTTGTAAATACATAAGCACAGTTTTTTTTATTAGCGTTTAAAGTTCAAATATTTCCGAAATTCGTCAAAAACGCCAAAATTTGCAAATCATTTTGAAGAAAAAAATTCATAAAATATTTATTTATTCACCTAAGGTTTCAAATTTCAATACAAGGTTCTAGATAAGTTTAAATTTAATTAATCATAAATAAACGTCGAATGATATTTCGTTAATATTTTTTATGAGCGTATTTTAAATTCATGTAAAACTCATCAAAATTATTATATTAATAATAGAAAATTAATTAATATCAATATAAATGTAAAAATAGAAAATATTGACAAATCATCTCCGTTCAGAATCGTTTTTCGTATACAATGATATCTATCATTGCATTCAAGTTTAACCCACTCGACCCCTACTATACAGCAGAGCGCGACTTTCCCGGATTTTTTTATATTAGTTTGTCTTCAATTGTTATTAGTTTTAAAAATTCAGGTAGTTATTAATTAATAGAATTTGAATTCAATATATATTTTGTAAAAATTGTACAGATGGAGTGATTGATGATGACACTATTATTGAAGTTAAATGTCCAATATCAGCTAAGGATTATGATAATTTTATTGATGCTTTCAATGACAAAAAGGTATTATGAATAATTTTTAGCTCATACAATAATTATTTTCTTTGTGGTAATAATTATGATTTATGATTATTTTATTTCTGTATATAGTTGCCACAATGTGAACTTTTTGATAAAAAATTAAAATTAAAAAAAAATAGCAACTATTACTACCAGATCCAAGGACAAATGCATATTTGTAAAAAAACAAAATGTTATTTTGTAATTTATACTAGCTATTGGACAAGTATTGAAAGAGTAGATTATGATGACGATTTTTGGCAGACTAAAATGGCACCAAAATTAGAAAAGTCAGTATTTAAATAAATGTAATGACTGTACAAAACTTAGCATATAAACTAATGTACATTTATAATTATATATTTAATTAATATAATATTACGGTTTTATATCATTATTATAGTTTTTATATGAACTGTCTACTGCCGGAATTGATCAATCCACAATTTGGAAAGAGGTTACTTGTTTCCGATATAAAAGACCCGCGGTGACGACTGTAAAAAATTTTGTTACTACATTTCATTATATTAAATAATCAATAAATTATTATTAAAAAAAAAAAAGTCTAGAAGTGTTTAAGTACACATACAATATACATAATATACATAAACTTTTGTTATTATTGAAAAAAATCTTTGTTTACTACACTACTACTTTCAACTTTGCCTACTGTCTACTAGTAGCTTGTGAGGTTAAACCCAGCAGCGAGCGCGCCGCGTGAATAGAATTATAGGTATATGGGTGAGATACATTTTTAACTACAAAATAATTATTACATTAAATTTGATAAATTTAGGAGAATAATCAACTACCGTACGAAAAGTGCTTCAGGTTACCTAAAGTTAAAATGTAAAGACCCAACATGGTTACTAAAAAATGTATTTACTCATAACGAATTATTATTTTAATTACTAATAAGGTTACAAATGTAAATCAAGCTATCTGCTTAAATTTGTTGTAATTTATGTATTGATACACATATTTAAGTAAACAGGAGCTTTCATTAAAAAGTAAGTCTAGCGAGGATCGAGCGCGCAATGGTACGTGCATTAGAAATACACGGGTGACAATTTACGCAATGGCCAATGCCAATATTGTATGGACCCCGTCAACTAGACTGTTCGTGAAATAATAATGAGCCTCTCCTGTGAGTACGCCGCGTAGGTCCGCCACGGAGACAGTGGGCGTGGTTACGTCCGGCCGCGACGGCGGCGATACGGCGCACAACGCCATCTCTGGAGCGTTGTATACGTAACACTTTTACTGTTGCACACTCTTAAGACTATTTCTGAAAATATATATGAAATGAATGATAAAGAGTGGTCTACACTTTACCTTTATTACAGGTATAAAAAAATACTTGATAATGGAGATTTATACCATCGTATAGAGTTTGAAGGTAATTCTTTTGACACTACTGTAATTAAAGTATTAAAGAAATTAAATGAAGAATATTACAAATATACAAAATTATCTGATTTAAATATCAATGAACTTTATAAAATAACAACAATTAGAAAAGTAGATACAAAATATGGTGAAAGAGTTTCTGTTGTTTTAAACAATAAGGATATACTATTATTGCCCCAGAGGTTTATTAATATTATTTCTGAGTTAGATATAGACAGATATGATGGCGAAATGTATATGAAATATAAGGGTAAAAAAACTCTTGATAATAGGAAAACAATCCATTTGATAGAATTTGAATAACTTAACATTATTTTTTGTTATTAAATGAAATTAATCAAAATCATAAATGGTTTTATACATTTAGAACATTATATACATAATGAAAACCAAAGTATGTCTATTGGATTATATGCTTTGTCATTTACCAATTCTGGTGATTTAATCAAAATAGAAAATGATTGTCAGATAACAATTAACACTAACGTAATTGATATTAAAAGTGGGCTTTATACTATTGAAAAACTAAATAAATTAATAAAACCATTAATTATCTCTTTGATTGATAAAAAAATTAAAATAGAATCTCCATGTTACTATAGTTTGGATGAAAAATTAAAAAAATATTTAGGGTTTAATGGTATTATATACTTTTCAATGACAAGTGGCAAAAAAATTTATTATCCCACTAGTGATGAATATTACATAAATATTGAAAAAGAATGTGAATTTAGATTAGGTCGAAATGGCCAAATCCCACTAGGTACAATATCCATAGGTATTTATTCAATAGGCGAAATTGAAAATTTATTTAATTCATTCGGAGTTAAATTTGTGGATAATTTTCCTAAAATAAATCTTGAAATAAATAAAAATGTATTAAAAATAACTGCTTCAATTGGTCTGTGCTTTGATGAATATTTATCAAATTGTTTAGGTTTTAATTTTATAAAACATATGATCCCTATTAATAAAACATGGCCTAAAGGGAAAGAAATAGAATTAGGTGTTGAGTATACATCACCAGATATTGCTTATACAGTAATAGGAATAAAAACTCCAAAATTTTACACCCAAGGTTTCCTAAAAGAAATAAATGGTGTTATCGAAACAGAAAATAGCAAAACTATAATAGGAAAGAAAAATTATACTATTGATCAATTAAATAAAATACTACCATCAAATATAAAAATACAACAAACAGATAAACAAATTACAATAATATCTAGTATTTATTATTTATTGGATGAAAATTTAACATCAAGCCTAGGATTAGGTAAAAAATATATTCATACACATATTGGTTTAGATGTTATATTCAGTAATTATTTTGAAAATAAGTTTATCGAAGTACATTGTAATATAACTGAAAATTCCATTTCTAACCATAAAACTGATAAATATTTGCATATAGACGATGATATTTTATGTGTTGTTAAATGTGATAAGGGTGGCCAATATATAGCTAATGACATTAAATATATTCCTCTAAATGTAATAGATTTTAAACATATTAAATTATTTATCACCGATCAAGATGGTATTGAAATAATATGTAATGACTTTGTTGCATATTTAATTCTAAAAACATAGATCTAGATAGTTCTATAACACAATGTTTTGACGTTCACCCCATACGGGCGAGCGTCAGATACTTTGTAAAATAAATTCTATGTTTGACGCGTGCGTAAATATCGCACACGTCATTTAATTATATTGTGTTCTTAAATAGGCATACCTTTTTCCATTAAATTATCAATACGCTCATAGCAGAATAAATTATCTGGCCTATCTAACATGTTTAATAAATATATTAAAATATAAGTACTTTTGGGCGTATTTATTATATTTTTATATTTTTTAATTAACAAATTAAGAATTTTTTTCTTTTGCTTAACTATATTATCAATATTTTCAATACCTTTATTATTAATAATAATTCTTTCTTTTTTAGCCAAAGATTCCAATTGTTTATAAAGTTTACCCATTATTTAAATATAAATTTATATATTGATATTATATTTAGATGTATAAAATCTATATTTAACGCGTCCCCCAAAAAGGGACACGTTTTTAATTTTATTTTATAGCTATTATAAATAATCATATTTAAATGGAAACGTATTTAGAGAAAAATATGTTAGTTTATAGAAAAAGTTACAATTATTATTCAAAAGTCAGTTTTTGTTTACTAGCTTTAAAACTGTTTCTAAGTACAATTGGCCCAATTGGTTATTTTGTATTACCTTTATTAACAATGTTTTCGTTATTAAACGGAATTATAGAAATTTTTGAAAAATCTTATAAGCTTAATGAAAGAATTATAGAATACAGAATTTGTTATAAATTTTATAATCAATTGATATTGCTGTATAAATCTAATAAAATAATCGAGGATGGTATATGTTTAAAAGAAGCAGATTTTAAAGAAACTATTAACTTTTTCCCTAGAGAAAAATACTTAAAACAGACACAACTTAACGGTTACAAGTATACAGCATAATTAAACATTATATTAATTTAATTTCTTATAAATGGGAAATATATATTGTGTTAAATGTAAACAAAAAACAGATAATATTAATCCACATATAATTATGACTAAAAATAATTTGAAAAGAATGTCTGCAAAATGTAAAAAATGTAATTCTTTAAAAAGTTGTTTTATTAAAACATAATATTGTATAGGTACAGTGTATTCTAATATATATCTTTAATTTAGCCGCAACTACAGTTGCGCGGGTATACATATATATATATATATGTAATTCATGTCTATTTTTAACATTCACCCCATACGGGTGAGTGTTAGATCCACCTTACATATAAATATATATATATAATATATACAATTTAGTCGCAAGTGTAGTTGCGCGGGCATAATTAATAATTTCTAATTTTGACGCGGTCCAATTTTCCGACCGCGTCATTAATATCATAAAAACCCATAAATTCCAATAAATTTTCAGTAATTAATATTAATTTAATAAAATAGCCGCAAGTGTAGTGGCGCGGGTATACATACATATATATATATATATACAATTTATAAAAACGTGCACGGAAAATCCGTGCACGATTTTAGATTAGAAAAATTTCATTTTATAGAGTTTTTAAACAATCATAATAGCCGCAACTTCAGTTGCGCGGTTATACATACATATAATATATATATATATATATATATATATATATATATACATTTTAGACGCAAGAATAGTTGCGCGGGTATACATACATATATTTAGATGATATTGTAATAATATAATGTAATATGTGTTCTTAAATGTACCTTTTTCCATCGAATTACCATCAAGTACCCGTGGCCTGATGGGTTAAGGCGTGTGCATGTGGCCTGCCGGTTGCGGGTTCGAATCTCTCTGAAATTTTTTGCGTTTTCAACTGTTCTAATAGTAATAAGCGCCGCCGTGCGGTCCTACGAGGCTCGAGGCCAAGTGCCGCCGTACGATCCTACAAGGCTCGAGGCCAAGTGCCGCCGAGCGAGCCGACGAGGCTCGAGGCCAAGTGCCGCCGTGCGATCCTACGAGGCTCGAGGTCAAATAAAATATGAATAATAATAATAAAAAGTGTCGCCGTGCGATCCTACGAGGCTCGGTGGCCAAATAAAATGTGTAAATAACATAAAAGTGATAACATTCATAACAGAAAAGTGATAACATAATATGATAAAATGATAATATAATATAATAATATGATAACAAAAATTTTGATATGTTTATTTTTATAAAGAATCTGACGCGTGCCCGGATGGGGCACGCGTTAAATATATAATTAAAAATAATAATAATTAGTACTATTGTAAATGAATTTGAGGTGGCTGGTTTGAAACCAGTCACTTATAATATTATAGTAAAAATCATGGTCTGTTTTTCCGGCCATGATTTTATTAAAGAATTTATGGGTTTTTATACAAAACCTGACGTACCCCTAATTTCAGGGGAACGCAAGATTAATAAAATTAAAGAGAATTTATGGGTTTTTATGATATTAATGACGCGGTCGGAAAATTCGACCGCGTCAAAATTAGAAATTGTTATAAACATTTTATAGAATTTTTAAA